TGATATAAAAGATATGACTACAAACATACGATTCCCTTGATTTCAATAGACGGTACCTAATATTAAATTTGGCTCGTGGGTAATAGTTCATGGTGGGAATGCAGTGAAGGTATTGTACCCTGCTATTTCGCCAACGCTTCACCTTTTTAACTATATATGTTTCATAAATATCTACTACTCTTTTGATTTCAATAGACCGTTTATTTACATTAAAATTGGTTAAGGGGAACATTTCATGGTGGGAATGCAGCGAAGGTATTGTACGCTGCTATTTCGCAAACGCCTCACCCTTCTAACCATCCATATTTATAAATTTTTTTATGCATTTTGAACACCAAATAGAACTGTAACAATGGTACCACCAGCACTATTTTTTATGCACTAGTGTACCTTTCAGTGGAAATGTTAAGGACTGTTGTCGTTTACTCCAAATACACTGACTGATACTGACTGATTGACTGTCAGCTGGGTGTGACAGTCATAAAAACGCGCATAAAATGAAGAGGCGAGTAATGCGCAGCTGTCGCTCCTTTCAAAAATAGTCTTGTCTCGGAGGACATCCTGTCAAATATGGGGCTATAGTGAACTACCGAGGTACCAATTGCCAATAACTCAACCTCCAAGTCTGCTTGCTTAGACGTTTTGATTGGAGGTGAAGTTGAAACCCCTTGAACAGAAATATTAACTGATTTGCTTAGCGACTATGTCTGACTATTGTCAGTTGATACAAGCACAACAGGATCGGAATGTCCAATTTCTAAAATCTTGTACGGCCTTGTCCTACATCAACGGCCCGGGTCACCTGTAGCGACTGCGAACGACTAAGTCCACGGAGTGGGCACAGCACCAAGGAATTGCCCGCGAATTAAGTTACACTGACGCGTAAATTAATATGTAATTGTGGCGGAAAGGACCAAAAAATATTAAATTAAATAAGATTGTGTTTGTTTTAATATGCTAAAATATAATAAAATTCCATCAACATGAACTTCTGTTGGGCAGGATACGAATGCTAATCGAGGGAAATACAACCTTATGCGGGCGGAACTTAACGAAAATAGAAATTCGTCCTCCTATTGGTGGGATTTAACGAAAAAAATTAGAGTCTGGCTACCAAACTTTAAAAGGTAGTTTTTATTATAAGGCGACGGGATTTTCGGGCCTCTAAAATCAATCCTGCCGTAGTATCTTCCGCACTCTCTCCTCCCTCACCTACCAGGCTCGGATGACAAGAGGACGAGAGGTGGAATCGGGAGCTGGGGCTGACCAAACACATCATTTCATCTACGCGTACCACACACGACCTAGCCAAGGCTCTCACGAGAGGAAACACATCGGATCTCAAAAAACGGGGGGAGGGGGGTGCCATAAAGGCCATGCCTCAGACCTGAAAGGCAGTCAAACAGCGCGGGATAGTGAAGGGACGGGACTGAGAGGATTAACCAGCCACTGTGCTCGATCTCACCTGTCAGCGAAACTTGATTTTGTCACGATGGCAGAGGTCACGTGTAGAGTAATGCCGACACTGTGCTCACACTACCGTCAAGGACAAAACGGGCTGCCTTTTGGGCTTAGCAGCTGCCGCGCTAGCCAGTCAGCCCTTCACTCAGCCATTGGGATACCAGGTTTCACGCTGCGTCAGCTGCGATCAACGGGTTCGCCGCAATTTTTGTTAACTGGCAAATT